GGTTTAAATTACATAACATCCATAGTAACATTTTTCCTATATAAAAAATACTGTTTTTTCAAAATATCATCCTAATCTATATTTAAATCAAACCATGTGAGCACTCTTGTTTCACCATATTCATTTCAAGGACAGTTACAGGAACATTGTGATAACAATTTTCCATCAATATCACAGCAGGCTGATTTACTCAGCAGCACATAACTGCAGTATTTTTATTAAAGCTTTGAAATCTTGAATGAGAGGTGGAACACTAATTGTGGACATGTAATACATTAAATTTCTAAGACTTCAAAGGGAGCATAATTAACTCAATGCCATATAATTGCTCCAGGGACAGAAAAAAAAGATGCAAACAGAATTGATATGCCCATTTTCCCCCTTAGGAATTAAATGACAATGCTAAGTGAGCAATTTCTTTTTTAAAACTCATCTTTTGAATTTTAAGTTGATATTTTCTTTGACTATTTTAACAACTTTTCATGACAACTTATAAAATATAGAAACTAGTGAAGCTGGAAGTTCTGCTATTCCCTCTCTTTGACCAGAATTTCTTACTTCCTCTTCTCCCTCTCTTCAGTATTTATTGAACCTGTTTCTTTGACTTCATCATAACATTTAGATCCTTTCTCCTTCCCGTTATTCCAATGCATCAGTTCCTCTATAGCTTCATTTGCCTTTCTATCCATCATGTAATCCATCGTAAGTCATTTCTATATCTCATAGGACCTGAGAGTCATGTACCCCGTTGACCTGCTGACAAGTTACTTTACCAATTTCCAGCTCTGCGCATCACCTAGCATCCACTATCAGTGCTAGTTGCAAAAATGTTGAACGTGGCTGGAGGAAGTTGGAGAATAGAACAGATTACATCTAAGGAGGTCTTTAATTTTCTCAACTGTAAATTTGGAATTTGGGCAAAATGTTACATGTTGTACATTACAGATCTAAAATATTTAAGAAATACTATCAACTATAACAACAGCTCTTTAAAGTATCTTCTGATAATCTCCAAAACTCTGAAAGAACATTCTGGAATTTACAACTGAAGAAAGTCAATTGAGATACCTTCCAAACCCCAATAAAATATAAGGGGTTGAATAGATATATAAACAAATAGCCATGAGAAAAAGGGACAGAAACCATCTGAAAAGTGTTTTTTTAAATAAATTACTGAAATTGCAGAAAGCAAAGATGAAATAAAGAACCTTTTGATGAGGGTGGAAGAGAGAGAGTGAAAAAGCTGGTTTAAAACTCAACATTCAAAAAACTAAGATCATGGCATCCAGTCCCATCTCTTCACGGCAAATAGATGAGGAAGCAATGGAAACAGTGACAGACTTTATTTCTGGGGGCTCCAAAATCACTGTGGACAGTGACTGAAGCCATTATTAAAAAACGCTTGCTCCTTGAAAGAAAAGCTATGACAAACCTAAACAGTGTATTAAAAAGCAGAGACATTACTTTGCTGACAAAGGTTCGCATAGTCAAAGTTATGGTTTTCCAGTAGTCATGTATGGATATGAGTGTTGGATGACAAAGAAGGCTGAGCACTGAAGAACTGATGCTTTCAAATTGTGGTATTGGTGAAGACTCTTGTGAGTCCCTTAGACAGCAAGGAGATTAAACTAGTCAATCCTAAACGAAATCAACACAGAATACTCATTGGAATGACTTATGCTGAAGCTGAAGCCCCAATACTTTGGCCACCTGATGTGAAGAGCTGATTCACTGGAAAAGACCCTATATGCTGAAAAAGATGGAGGGTAAAAGGATAAGAGGGCAACAGAGGCTGAAATTGTTGGATGGCATCACTGACTCAATGGACATGAGTTTGAGCAAACTCCCGGAGATACTGAAGAGCAGAGAAGGGCGGCAGACTGTAGTTCATGGGGTTGCAAAGAGTTGGACATGACTTAACTACTGAACAACAACAATTAAAAAAAGAAAAGCAGATGAAGTAGTGATATCCGCCAAAGTATGGTAGGAAAAGCCAGGATGATACCATCATAGGGGCAGCAATGGCGCACAGGACTATCCTGCCAAGTCCTAGCAATTCTGATGCCTGGAAATGCCAAGCCAATTGGCATGCAGGAGTGAAGTGGGGAACTGAAAAGTATGGGAGTAGGTTATGTTTTATAAATTTCTGTGAACACTGAATTAGTAAATATTGACCCATTGCTACTAGATGATACACAGGATTTGGATTTTGCAAACCTTTTTGGTTTTATAAATGTTTTTATTTGGGGCTTTCCCAGTGCCTCAGTGGTAAAGAATCTGCCTGCAATGCAGGAGACCCAGTTTGATCCCTAAGTGGGGAAGATCCCCTTGAGGAGAGCATGGCAATCCACTCTAGTATTCTTGCCTGGAGAATTCCATGGATAGAGGAGACTGGTAGCCTACAATCTGTAGGGTCACAAAGAGTTGGACAGACTGAAGTGACTGAGCACTCACACACACATGTTTCTATTTAAAGATGCTATATGTTTTGCAAAGATCTTACAGAAAAACCTGAATGAATTATTGTTTTGTCTAAAAAAAACAATTATTTCTGAAAAGTATAACTGGATGGAGAAATAGGTAGACCAAAGGATTCTTGCTTTTCATTATAAAACCCTCAATCGTATCCTTTTTAAAATTCTGTCCATCTCCCCGCCCACCTCTTTCTCTCTCACACACGCGAGCGCACGCATACACATACACACACATAAACACACAGAATGAAGTTTCATTTGCCTATCACTATCTGCCTAATACATTCGTATTCATTTTGTAGCACTCTGGTAAAGCAAATTCTCTGTGAAACATTTCCTGACTTCAGCCAAACTCCCTGCAGACTTAGTGAGTTCTCCTATAGAATTCCAGAGCACCATTTACCCATCACTATAATAGTATTTTTCTTTCACATTTTATTATTTAGTTACACACTTGCCTCCTCCACTAAATAAGTAATCCTCTAAGTCAGTAACTATTCTGTGTGTCTCCAGACCTCTGATGCTACTTGCCTTTTAAATTTGGTGCTACTTGCCTTTTGAATGAGCTGTGTCTAGGACTTAAGGGGTCAGTCTGTTCTCTAAGTGGGAAATGTTTCTAGAACTAACGAGAGAGCAGAATCAAGGTGCAGTGTTTGAGAACAGCTAAAGGAGCAGCAGGGACCACTACATAGATCAGAGAAGAGTATAAAGGCTTGAGACTTTAAACCCAGCCCATAGTTTAGAGATTATGGATATACAGAGACTATACATAAAATCAGTAATTGTGAAGGAAAAAATGAATGGGAAAAATGGTGGTTGGGTAGTGGAAGGGAGATATATTTCTCAGGAAAATCACAAACATAGATTTATGTATTTGAGAAAAAAGATGGAAGCAGCAGATTATTACAAGTGTCAAGGCTCAGAGTTAAGAACAGGGGGCCATAGCCCCTGCTACATGTCAGGTAGATACTACATACTACTAGATAAATATGTACACCTAGAAAATATGATCTAGAAGTTACCATTTCTTAAGCATCTGCTAGGTGCCAGCTGTCCAATCACTCCTTTAAGGCTTATTATATCTCATTAATCTACAGTACAAATATAATAAATTGAAATCAATAATATTCCCATTTTACTGGTGACAAAATGGAAGCGCAAAGCTATTAAGTAATTTGCGGGCATCACATGACCAGAACGTGACTGACATGGGCTTGTACCTGTGTCTTGACTACCATTTCTCTTGGTGAATTAGTACTCATGCCACTGGGCCTGGTTCAAACATGCCCTCTCAATGAAGCCTTCTCTGATCTTCCCAACCAAAAGTGACCATAGATACTTCAACCTTATTTATTATAATTTTAAGATTCCAATTTATATTATATGCCCTTATATATTTGCCTTCAGCCTTCTAGCAGATTTTGTCTTTCTCGAAGGAGAGGACAAACTCTTGTAAAATGAAAATACTCTTTCTATTGGGGAAACATTTAGTGGTTCAATGAGACTCTCTGAGTTACTTGCTAGACCTAGAAAGGTCAAAGTTCTATATTTGTCCTTAAACTGAATAACAAAATTTTCTATTAAAATAAAAAATGCATTATAGATATTTTCCAAGTTTATTCTTCTTAGTGATTAATATTCTGCTTCAAGTTCTCTGATACCAATTATATAGTGTCAAAGAACTTCTAACACATTCTTAATTTGGAGGCTTTACATCAGTACTTTGGGAGCTAAAGAAAACATATTGCAGAAGTGAAGAAAACTATATTAGTGAAATAAAGCCACCCCAAATTTTAAAACTAATAATAAAATCCATGTGAAAGTATGTAACATCATGACTAATTTCAGCACTATATATAGTCAAAAAGTGATCACAAAAATTACTTGACAATAATCTTTTTTAAGGGAATAGCAAAGATTTTAGAATATAGAGATTGAATAGTCTCAACTGTATTTTTACAAAGTTTCAGAGCTTCTAGCCAAAGGTACAGATACAATTAAAATTTTGACGATCCAGCACCATAAAATGCACAATGGTCATCACTTTGCAGAGTTTCAGACAGTTTCAATTATTTGTCTTGCTACAGAGTTCTGAATATAGAGGAGAAGAACCTGCTATATGTTTTCATAATAGGGATCATATTTAGGCAATAATAGCTTTAACTCAAATAAATCTTTTCTCAGAAATAAAATTTTAACTTGCATAAAAAAATTAAGTATCAATATTAGACAATTTGTGAAATCCATTCAGGTAAGCAGCACTTTTAAATCCCCATAAGAATTCTTAAAGTCATCCTGGATAGGTGCCTAAATACATATAAATACAAAGTATTCTTAGCAATTAACTGGACAGTACGGGGTAAATGTGATGAACAAGGAATTCACTGTGCTACCTCAATTAGTGCTAATGAGAGTTGTGTAGTTAATTCCCTCACACTGCTCTTAATTTTCATCTCCTCTGTGGGATCTATTCTGAAACATTTAATGTTTACACCCTATTCCCAGTCCATGACAATTTTTACTTACCTCAGTAATGAAGGATTTGGCTGTGGCAGGATTCATAACAAGGATGGCTCGCCTAAGAGTGTCTCGATAGCGATTCAATTCCTCTATTCTCATGGTGTCAAAGAGCGTGGTGATCATCTTATTGATGTTGCTTTCTACCTTCTGAAGTGCAACATCCATCCCCTGCTGAGACACTTTGTCCAGAAACTCCTGGATTCCACGGATATCTAGGAACATCAAAAGCCCATCAACGTGTGAATTAAAGCATGGAAGGGAGATAAAAGCTATTTCACTTATATCATTATAGTTTATTGTTCAATATTGTAGGCTGTTTAAACTACTAATGGAGTAGCTGATGGAACTCTCAGATATGGTTAAGGTTGAGTAGAATTTAATGTGTTTAGATGAAAAATGTATTGTTATTTTAAAAATTAATTTCACTCCACTGAGCTTTCTAAATGATCTCACCTCTAGAAAATGTTAGAACAACATAGAGGGAGGTGGTTGGGGAAGATCCTTACTTCCCTAAAGCAAATGTGAAATAAGAAATTACATTCCTTACTTTTCCTCCATATTAAAAGAGTGATACTAACCTCAGGCAAAACATGAATATCATTAATGGCTGATGAATCTGAATCAAGATTACTACTGTTTCTTAAAATGGGCAATGATATCAGTAAACTTGACATTTTCAATCTTAATTGAAAGAGGGTTTTGAGAGGTTATCTTCAAAGGATCTCAGGTCACAAATAAAACAGCTAAACTTTTGCTTGTTTTATGAATACTACTACCATCTTGGCTTCCACGGTGGCTCAGACAGTAAAGAATCTGCCTGCAACGCAGGAGACCGAGGTTTGATCCCTGAGTTGGGAAGTCCCCCTGGAGAAGGAAGTGGCAACCCACTCCAGTATTCTTGCCTGCAGAATCCCATGGACAATGGAGCCTGGCAGGCTACTGCCCATAGGGTCACAGAGTCAGACAAATCTGAGAGACTTCCACTTCACACTTCACTACCTCCTTTGCTCAAATCCTGCCAACTTAGTAGAGATTCTTCCTCCCCACCCCAAGAGTACATGGAATGTACTTTATGTGTAAAACATGAATTTTTAACAAAATATTCACACACTCATCCCCAAATAAGAGAATTTCTGAAAGACTATCAAATAAAGCATTGTGTTCATTTTACATCTAAATAAGGATGGTAAAATACAATCTAAATAAAATATTTATAAATTTGTATTTTGATGTATATTTAACTACCAACAAGTGCTTGAAATGTGACAAATATTTTTTCCTAGTACCACATAGGCTATTTATAGAAGAAGGGATCTATACATTGATAAATATGATTGGAAGATGTACCTGGCACAATATAATCTTAATATAGTACATTTGCTTTGACTATAAAATACTGTACATTTTTCTGTATATGCCCATGACACAAAATGTGAAAAGTGAAACTAGCAAAAGATAAGCAGTGAATGGGATTGTAGGTTGCTTATTATTAATGGACTATATCTCAAAACTCCTTACTGTATACGCATGTAATCTCTTAAGAGCAATAATAAGGTCATATGTTTTTCAATACATTAGCAACTGAAAGCAATAAGCCAACAGAATAAGAAAACAAAGTCACAGATTTGGAAACTAACATTTGTTCATAACCAAAATTTATGTTTGCAGGTTACAAACTAATAATAATTTAAAAATTTGCTTTCTTTTTATGATTAACTTTATTTTAAAACAATTACTATGAACATTATATGTCCAATTATCTGATGACTCTCAAACTCTTCAGAATAGATAACTGTGTAAATTCTACCTTAGATTCCTTATTCCTAATTAAATTATAAATCCAGGATGTCAGCATTGCTTAAAAGAATAAAGCCTCATCTAGAGCAGAACAAGAGATAAAAGACTTTGAATAATAACAGTATCATGTATTCATTAAATATCCAGGTCAGAAAGTTTCCAAAGATGTAAGGATTTCAAGCATGGATTAAACAAAGGGTTAGATATGATGAAATTTAGCAGATATAGGTAGACACATAACAGGACTATGTTCACACTCAAGCAGGCCTCCTCAAACTCTGCTGTGAATCAGAATCACTTGAAAATCTTATTAAAAATGCAGAAGCCTGGGCCCCAACTCAGAATCAATATGCCTTTAAAATATGTGTCAGAGCAGATCCTTGATTTTGAATTGTAAGTTATTATTTCTTCAGTTTGAGTCACTTAAATGTGCACATAAATATGACAGACCAAACCAAAAATGCATTGGAATAGAGATGTTCAGAAAACACCAGTGCGTAAAACTTCAGATCATTTATACTCTTAATTTTGAGAAAAAGAAAATTGTTTCCAAAAAAATGATTGAATATAGTCACCAATCCTGTGTGTTCAGAATTCAACAGTGAATACCCTTCCCTATACTGAGAGAGGCAACAAACAAGTAAAGAAACCAGCACACACAACTCACACCAGGTGCTGGGAAGGAAACAAGGTGTGCTGCTAGAGACAGGGCGGGAAGGAGGCTCTATTTTAGTTAGAATACTCAAGGGAGTTTCCTTGGGAAAAGTGGTGTTTCAACTGTGATCTAAAGGACGAGAAGACACTGCTCAAGCAAGCAGACAAGATGAGAGGACAACAGCCTGGGAAGAGGCCCCGAGGCGAAGAAGAGCTTGTGTCTAAAGTACCTAAAGGATTCCTGCATAGCTGCAGCGCAGTGAGCAAGAAGGAGGGCAGAGTTAGGTGAAGCTGTGCGGAGAAAGAAGGTCAGATGAGGTGGATCCTGGTGAGTCCCAGAAAGAGGTTTGGACTTTATCTTAAATGCAGTTTTAATCTCTTGAAAAGTTTTAAGTGGAGGATCTAAGTCGATGATGGGCTATGTGTGTAGAATGCAAAGGAAGTCTGAGAGTGACTCAGCGTGATTCCAATTCAGCTTGTAAATGGTATGACTTCATTTAAAAGAGCATGTTCTATACATCTATGTCAACTAATAAAAATAAATGAAAAAAAAAAACCAGTATGACTTTTTTACCTTCTATGTTTGACAGAAATTAAGTAATATGTGTATTGTTATTTGGCCAGAAAAGTGATGTGATAAAAGATTCCTATTATTTTTCTGTGCCCTTAGTCTGCAATTCTAGTTATCACTGCCTAGATAAGTGATAATAAAATTAAAAAAAATTTTTTTTTTCTGATCTATAAGTGAATAAATATTTGTCTTCTAAATGTCTTGAAAGATTAATTAGTGAGGGTGGTGATATGTACGTGTGTCTGCATGGGAAATCCAGTGAAAAGTCTAAAACATGGTGTGCATGTGTTAGTCACTCAGTCTTGTTCAACTCTTTGCAACCCCAAAAGGCTCCAGGCAAAAATACTGCATGCGTAGTCATCCCCTTCTCCAGGGGATCTTCCTGGAACCAAACCCAGGAATCAAAACCAGGTATTCCGCATCGCAGGCAGATTCTTTACCACTGAACCATCAGGGAAGCCTAAAACATGGTAGGTGCTATTATTTTTAATAATAGTTCCCAATTGCTTGTTAAGGGATCACCCACCAGTAGGATAGAATTGCCTAAAATTTAGATGGCTAGCTACCCAAAATGGCAAGTGTAATGTTTTAGACTCTTGGAATGTAGAAGTTAAATAATAATAGTTTTGCTTAATTGAAAATAACACCAAACACTCATGATATATAGCAACTGTAAGTTTGATGTGAGAAGAATCTGAATCACACTATTAAATGCACTGTGGAAAAGTCATTAAAAAAGAGAGTGGGCCTTTGGCTTTGTCAATTTGTGAATACAATCAACCATCATTATCATTCAGCTACACCATCTGTATTACTGTTAGTTGGCAAAAAATGAGTAAAGTGCTTCAGTTTACAGAAATTAAAAAGCTAAACGGTGATATCTGACCTCATAAAGCTTTCAGGCCTGTGGGTATTACTAGATGTTATTCGTTGATCACAAAAAGTTAAATAGTAGTTTCAGTTGTTCCTTGTGATTATTCATTCTACTGATCAGATAATTATATAACAGCAAGTGGTAGAGGTTCATGAAGTAAGTTACTAAACATAAGATTAGAACAAAAAAAGACTTTTTTCCTGGACTCTATAAAGGAAAGTTTCATACTGTTCATGGAATTCTCATGGGAAGAATACTGGAGGGGGTTGTCATCCTTCTCCAGTAGACCAGAGAAGACTTGAGAGTCCCTTGGACTGCAAAGAGATCAAACGAGTCAATCCTAAAGGAAATTGATGCTGAATATCCATTGGAAGGACTGATGCTGAAGCTGAAGCTTCAATACTTTGGCCACTTGATGCAAAGAACTGACTCACTAGAAAACCTCTGATGCTGGGAAAGATTGAATGCAAACGGAGAAGGAAGCAGCAGAGGATGAGATGGTGAGATAGCATCACTGACTCAATGGACATGAATTTGAGCAAACTCCGGGAGACAGTGGAGCACAGGGAGGCCTGGCGTGCTACAGTCCGTGGGTCGGAAAGAGCTGGTCACCACTGAGCAACTGAACAACAGTGACAATAAAGAAGGTAGAACATGACTCCCCAAAGAGGCCCAAGTCCTAATCCCTGGAATCTATGAATAGGTTAGGTTATATAACAGAGGAATTTATGCTTTAGATGACATTGAGGTTTGTCAATCACCTGACCTTACCATAGGCAGACATCTCCTATTACTTCAGTGGGACTAGTATAATTCTAAGGACTTAGAATTAAAGGAAGGAGGCAGAAAAGGAAAGTCAGACGTAGATCTGACAACTGAAGAATGAGCTGAGACTTCTGGGGAGCTTCAGAGATGAATGTTGCTGGCTTTGAGGATGAAGAAAGGGGATCTTGAAAGAAGAAATGTGGATGGTCCCTAAAAAAGGCAAGAAAAGGGGTTCTCCCCAAGAACCTTTAGAAAGAAACATAGCCTTCCTTACATCTTGATTTTAACAACATGAGCTCTCCATGGTCTTTGGCCTAATTAATTAGCTCACAGATAGTCACAGGATCCAAACAAGAATTGAAATTTGATATGAGTAATGAAAAATATATGGTCTTTCTTTTGTATCACAAGCGGTAATGATGCAGTTTTGGAACTGCAAGAGCCAGCATGTCTAGTGAGAAATGAAGAATGTAGCAAATGAGTGAAAATGAAAGAGGCAAGCCAGCTATTTCTTAGACTTTGCAACTGCATAAGTCAATTGAAAAAATATT